GTGCCACGGCGTCGACTTCAATATCGTCCGGAAGGACTCGTTCCTGAGCGCGTCGTGGGATGACACCGTGAAATTGTGGACCGTCGATCGGCCGGCGAGCGTGAGGACTTTCAAGGAGCACGCCTATTGCGTTTACTCAGCAGCGTGGAACCCTAGGCACGCTGACGTCTTCGCATCCGCTTCGGGTGATTGTACCACCCGCATTTGGGATGTTCGCGAACCAGGTTAGCTATTCGTATCACAATTTCCCTTCTTTTCATTATTGTTACTATTTATTTTTCAGTTCTATTTACTTGGTAAACTAAATCAAGTAGCTGATTTATGGTGTATGTTATGTGTTCTACCACCACTATTAGATGTTTCACTTGCTTGAGATAGATATAACTATCTTCATGGATAATTCAAGTTCATTGGGTAATTCATTGAGTTTTGAGATTTGGGCCCCAGACTGTTAGCTGGTTGTATTAACGGATAGCTGATAGATAGCTGATAGTGGATTGTAATAGTTGATTTGACGGTTTGTGAACGAGTGTTTGGCAAATAATGGTTTGTATAATTCGTTTAGAAAACTTATGTTGTGCTTTTTTACCAATCCTCTCTACCCATACCACGTTGCTCTATAGAGCTTTTTCAGAATTATTAAACCTCTAAATGAGGTTTAATCCTCTAATTTAACATATCAATATGCTAACATCCAATCGAGTCCTTTTGAAAGACTAGTTAGTAATTTGAGTGCTTAATCACCAATAGGAACTATTGTTGTTGAAGGCTTGCTGAATGCGTGTCTTGTGTGTTTAACATTTCCTTCCTACTCTGCCAACAGCTATTCATGATTTGGCAAGGCTGGTTTCCTTTTCGAAAACACACACACACACACAAAAGGAAAAAAGAAAAAAAAAATTATCTTCTTAAAGAAGAAGTGGTACCTCTCGAGCTAGTGCTCACGGTCAAGGCGTTCCCTTTATTTACTGGATTTGGAAGAATTTTTCTGCAAAGCCTTGATTGAATGATAGAACCTGTCACTGTCTTATCACACATACTGCAATATCTGTTTTAGTGAGCCTAGAGATGAGTGATAAATAATCAATAGAGCTCTATAACCGAAACCCATTTGGTAACTGGTATTCAGAATGTTTAATTTTTAACAGTAAGATAAAAACTATTTACTTGTTCAGGTTCCACCATGATACTCCCCGCCCACGAATTCGAAATCCTCTCGTGCGACTGGAACAAATACGACGACTGCATCATAGCAACAGCATCAGTCGACAAATCGATCAAAGTTTGGGACGTGAGGAATTACAGAGTGCCGGTGGCCGTGCTAAACGGGCACGGCTACGCGGTGCGGAAGGTGAGGTTTTCTCCTCACAGGGGAAGCGTGATTGCTTCTTGCTCATACGACATGACTGTTTGTTTGTGGGATTATATGGTTGAGGACTCTATAATCGGGAGATATGATCACCACACGGAATTCGCGGTTGGAGTCGATATGAGCGTGCTCGTGGAAGGGCTTTTGGCGAGTACTGGATGGGACGAGCTCGTTTATGTGTGGCCGCATGGTACGGACCCAAGGGCCTCGTGACATTTGGAGTTTGAAGGTTCCATTTTTTTTTTTTTCCTTTTTTTTTTGTGTAAATTGGATGTGGAATAAGAGAGTGATTTTGATTGGCATTCCTGTAGTTGTGGAACAAAGGTGACTACAAAAGAGTGAGTTTGAATAGAAAGTTTTAAAGACTATATGATGAATAACGACGTGGAACAATGTGGTTGAGATGTATGAAAAAGTCTACTTATAAAGTTATACATGGACGTTTTTCCTTTTCTTTTCATGTTAATAAACTTCAATAACGATTGATTTATATGTCATGTTGGTACCCAAAATATCTGATCACAATAAAATGAATCGATCTATTATATTTCATGTTCTACCCAAAATATCTGATCACAAGATATGATGTAACCACATACTAAATCTCAGCTCAAATGGACGGATAATGCTCAAAGCACATAAATAATCCTATGATAGCC